GGGTAGCCACCCTTGCGGAAAGAATTGCTATCTCTGTAGATTAATGAAAACCGCAGAAAGTGCAAAAAGTACCGTAAACAGTTACCAAATAGATATTAAACACGAAATTACATGCAACACAGAAAGTGTGGTGTATTTAATAGAATGCAAACAATGCAAAAAACAATACATTGGTCAAACGGGAAATAGCCTAAAAGAAAGATTCAGGGGACATCTACAGGACATCAACACTGAGAATAATACAAAACCAGTCTCGAAACACTTCACCTCAAATGGTCACAATAAACACGACGTCACCATAACAGGCATAACAACCACAGAACAAAACATAAACGTCAGACTAAGAACGGAAGAAGCTCTTATACATAAATTTGGAAGCACCGAACCCTGGGGCCTTAACAGACGATATGGCTAATACGAAGATTACCAAAAGAAAAGAAACTACAGGAACTTTCATAAGACGATTTAATTGCAAAAAATGCCCGAAAACTTTCTGCAGTATTTCTACTTTACGAAGACACCATAAGGAACGCCACGAACCAGTCGCAACAATGTTTGAATGCAAACATTGTGTTGCAACCTTCACTAGAAAATCAAATGCCGTAACACACCTTAAATCAAAACACCCAGATAAAGCCAGAGAAGATTATAATAGCTTCCAACAAAATCCTCGTGAAATGGCCAAAGCAATAGAAAAATGGAGACCACCATTTGAAGCCGTACAGAAAAAAGAATGGAACGGGAAAACATCTACATTCAGGACAATACCAGCTAAATCACCGTATGAGTATCACCAATCATCCACCTCAAAACCGAAAAAACCCTCAACAAGTGATTTGGAACAAGACCTGTACCTGTCGGATTCCGACTCTTCTTTAAATAACACTCCGCAATACATAACAAACGATTACGGTTATGTCATGGACCTTACTCAGGAAGACTACATAGACCTGACAACAAGCAGCAGTGATGAAACCATATGTTTAGATGAGCTACCGGAAGAACTATGGGACAGACATGTGTTTGTACATTCTATTTATAACATTTTTAGCTGAGACAATAATAACACAGAGTTGATATACAAACAATTTTAATTTACTTTCATTTTCATGTTGACAATCTATTTATATACATTTTCTATTTATACTTTCACTATTACTTCCCTTTCATAACAACTACTATACTATGACGTTGTCACAAGACAACCCGATTGTACACTTAAGTATGTTCAATGTATTATTTGTATCCTGATGACGGTGCCCTAGGCACCGAAACATGTCGATCAATAAATTTTCTGCAGCAGTCCCTCCAGTGTTGTTGTTATAAGACTTTCTACATTATTGTGTTTCATCATAACGACCCTGCATACCCGAGGTATCCACTTCAGGGACTCTAACTCACTACAGACTCACCAGGCGTTGGTTCACTTTCGTTTGTAATTGTTTATTGTTTTATCGTGAACCCCTTGCATTCCTTTTGGAACCGCCGTTGCCAGCAGCGCTGACCTTCCCAGCCACCCGCAGCTATGTCTTTGAACGAAGGAAATAACGAAGATTTTGTTGAGGCACCATTGGAGCCTTCCAGAAGTGCCAGTACCATCCAGGCAAACAAAAGAAAAAGGATCGAACAAGAAGCCTTTCAAACAGGAATAAACCCGACCAGAATTCAAGAAAAGAATGTTTCACTTTTTAGAACTTACCGTAAATTAAATGTTAAATTGGTCCGTTGTGAACAGCATAAGGCTTACTTAACCCGATGTGAAATAAGGGATATGGTACCCAAGACACTTAAATCAAATATACAACCCCAAGTACCCGATACAACTCCCGAATTCCTTTTCGAATGGGAAGACGCACAACTAGAATTTGGCAGAACATTAGTGAAACTTTTAATTAAATATTGGAACAACCGATGCGAAATAATTTCATCTCAAATTGCAACTATGGAAATTAGATTAAAAGACAAAACAACTGACACTGAAATGGAACACATAACAAGTTTAATACAGAAAACAAAGCTATCCGTCGAAGACGAAATTAGCAAACGACCCGCGAATCCAGCTAAGCAACAATAAATCACCCAACCCCCGAAAATGCCGAGAACCAGAAAATTCATTAAACACAACATTTATAAGAAAATTAAGAATAAACCACAAAAGGATACATGTGCCGTAATAAATTTGAGCAAAAAACAATTAACATATGCCCAACACTCAGTGCTACAAACAGGATTAAGTTTCTGTCCAACACCAGGCCCACTAAATGAGTTAGAACTTTTCAGAGATACACTAATTTTTAATAGAAGAATACGCCTGAAACACCATTTTCAAAAAAAGAACGATACCAGTGAAAGCACATATACTCCCAACCCGTTTAAATTACCTACAGGATGGACACCACCAGCGGGAAGAAATAAAGATTTGGATACATTTTTAAACCTTACTTCTGATGATATCTCACAAATTTCGAAAACAGGATTTATAAGAAAAAACCTCAACCGAAATCAATTTAGAGCCTTAAATGAATTAAAAAATGATCAGACCATTACACTTAAACCAGCAGACAAAGGAGGAGCAATCGTTATTATGGATACCATAGATTACATGCGAGAAGCAGACCGTCAACTTTCTAACACTACTTTTTACGAGGAAGTAAATAAAGATCTCAACCCCAAAATCGCCAAAGAAATAAAAGAATTCATTCTCGATATAAAACACAAACTACCCGAAACTCTACACGAATTCTTATTACAAAAACACTGGCGAACGCCACTATTTTACCTTCTCCCAAAAATTCACAAAACAGGAAATCCAGGTAGACCAATTATTTCACAAATAAACTCTCCTACTGCAAATATGTCAAAAGTTGTGGACCATTATCTAAAACCTTTCATCAAAGATATACCGTCGTATATTAAAGATACCACACATTTTCTACAAAAAATCGAATCGCTAGGCGATATACCACCCAACAGCCTTCTAGTAACGGCAGATGTAAGCTCACTGTATACAACCATTCCACACAGAGAAGGAATACTAGCAGCAAAAGAAATACTGAACAACAGACAAGAAAATTCACCAGCAACTTGGATACTTCTTAGATTTATGCACTTTATCTTAACCAAAAATTGTTTTAAATTCGGCAATAAATACTACATGCAAATTATGGGAACAAGCATGGGAACAATTATGGCTCCGGAATACGCCATTATATTTATGGACAAATTAGAGAGAGAATTCCTAAAAACACAAGTACTTAAACCATTAGTATGGTGGAGATATATAGACGACATATTTTTCATATGGCCACATACACGCAAGGATCTAGATTCCTTCATAAGTGCCCTCAACCAATTCCATCCTAGTATAAAATTCACAAGCCACATAAGTACAGAAAAGGTCGATTTCCTAGATACAACGGTAGTTAATAACCAAGGAAAACTCCACACAACTCTATACACAAAACCAACAGATGCGCACCTCTTCTTACATTACAACTCATGCCACCCGAAACACCAAAAAGAAAGTATTCCATTCAGTCAAGCACTGAGAATAAGACGAATTTGTACAGAAATCAATGATTTCGAATTTCACACAAACCGTCTGAAAGAACATCTCCTGACTCGGGGTTATCCCCGACAGGTTGTCGATTCTGCAATTTCAAAAGCAAAGTCGTTAAATCGAAATGATTTGTTAAAACCAAAGGAAACTGACCAACCCGTGAAGCCAGATATGATTCCATTAGTAATCAACTACCATCCAAAAATAAAAAATCTTAACGGAACCATCAACCAGAGGAAAGATATCCTCAAAAGAACTCCTGAAACTCAAACCCTCGCGAAACAAAAACTCATTGTTTCATATAGACGAGCCTTATCAATCAAACAAATACTAGTAAAAACCGAAATTGTACGCAAACAAACCCGTAAGGGTAGCCACCCTTGCGGAAAGAATTGCTATCTCTGTAGATTAATGAAAACCGCAGAAAGTGCAAAAAGTACCGTAAACAGTTACCAAATAGATATTAAACACGAAATTACATGCAACACAGAAAGTGTGGTGTATTTAATAGAATGCAAACAATGCAAAAAACAATACATTGGTCAAACGGGAAATAGCCTAAAAGAAAGATTCAGGGGACATCTACAGGACATCAACACTGAGAATAATACAAAACCAGTCTCGAAACACTTCACCTCAAATGGTCACAATAAACACGACGTCACCATAACAGGCATAACAACCACAGAACAAAACATAAACGTCAGACTAAGAACGGAAGAAGCTCTTATACATAAATTTGGAAGCACCGAACCCTGGGGCCTTAACAGACGATATGGCTAATACGAAGATTACCAAAAGAAAAGAAACTACAGGAACTTTCATAAGACGATTTAATTGCAAAAAATGCCCGAAAACTTTCTGCAGTATTTCTACTTTACGAAGACACCATAAGGAACGCCACGAACCAGTCGCAACAATGTTTGAATGCAAACATTGTGTTGCAACCTTCACTAGAAAATCAAATGCCGTAACACACCTTAAATCAAAACACCCAGATAAAGCCAGAGAAGATTATAATAGCTTCCAACAAAATCCTCGTGAAATGGCCAAAGCAATAGAAAAATGGAGACCACCATTTGAAGCCGTACAGAAAAAAGAATGGAACGGGAAAACATCTACATTCAGGACAATACCAGCTAAATCACCGTATGAGTATCACCAATCATCCACCTCAAAACCGAAAAAACCCTCAACAAGTGATTTGGAACAAGACCTGTACCTGTCGGATTCCGACTCTTCTTTAAATAACACTCCGCAATACATAACAAACGATTACGGTTATGTCATGGACCTTACTCAGGAAGACTACATAGACCTGACAACAAGCAGCAGTGATGAAACCATATGTTTAGATGAGCTACCGGAAGAACTATGGGACAGACATGTGTTTGTACATTCTATTTATAACATTTTTAGCTGAGACAATAATAACACAGAGTTGATATACAAACAATTTTAATTTACTTTCATTTTCATGTTGACAATCTATTTATATACATTTTCTATTTATACTTTCACTATTACTTCCCTTTCATAACAACTACTATACTATGACGTTGTCACAAGACAACCCGATTGTACACTTAAGTATGTTCAATGTATTATTTGTATCCTGATGACGGTGCCCTAGGCACCGAAACATGTCGATCAATAAATTTTCTGCAGCAGTCCCTCCAGTGTTGTTGTTATAAGACTTTCAACAAATAATAATGTGTTTAATGACATTAATTCCTAAACACTTGTTAAATCCCCCCCTTTTTTTATTTAAAATAACTTGTTATCTTCAGCTTTGTTTCTCTAATAAAAATATGAGAAACTAACTTGTACAAAATGCAAAAAGTGATAACTTGAGAATAAAATAAAGACTTACAAATGGAAAAATATAAATGCAAGTTCAATCACATTTGTGTATGATTCAAACATATTTTTCTTGGACATAGAATGTACCGGTATATAAATTTATTTGGAATTAAGTTCATAATTATTATTTCTATGTTTTACAACCAAAAAAATATATATCATAATCTTAAATAAGACCAAACAAGCGGACAAAAGACCACATGTAATTTTAAATCTACAAGTACATTGCATGTTTCATTTGTTATCATGTGTCACCATAACGATCACAGATTTGACAAAAAAACATATCTTATCAGAACATTTATGAATTGGCAGTGAATCTGCTTGTGTTGATGAAATTTTGCTTTGGAACCCCTTGCAACATTTATTGCTTAAGTAGACTAGAAATGAAGATAGTTTGTGGTTTTATCCTGTCAGATACACTTCTATATCATTCAGGAAAATAAAGAATGTGATAATCATGGATTAATACTGTATCAGTGATGACAATGGTTTAGAGACTTTGTCTTTCCCTTTCAAATCACTTAGCTCTATAACAACTAAACAATCCAACACATCTCCAGAGGCTTTCTCAAGTAGGTCACAAGCAGCTTTCATTGTACCTGTCAAAATAAAGCAGAAGAAAATGTCTGATCAATTGTAAATTAATTTTGCAAATTTATTCATTGACAACTATTTTTATAATATTTTGCAAGACAATGCAGGTATTAGAATATTTAAATTATGAAAGATACAGACTTTAAGATAATACATGCACAATGACAGTATCAGTACAAGATGTATATATATGTGAAAGTATTGATCTCTGCATTATGGTAACCACATATATATATGTCAAAATGTCTTAGCTTCAAAGTGAGGATAAATAAGAGTCAAAATATACAATATGAACAATGGAGTTGAAGAAACATGTTACTACTGCCTCCTATAAGAATTGCTAATATTTCATATAAAATTGGTTACTTTTTATTGAAAAATTCCAAAGTATGAAACAAAAGGAGATAATCATTCAAATCCATACTAATGTAGGATTTAACTTACCATCTAGGTGTTTGAAGAAACTAATTTTTAATTATCTACATTATAATAACTAGTACAAGATAGCAATTTGGTCCATACATTCTGTGCAATACAGATTTTTATCAACCAAAATCTATTTACAACAAAAGTCGTCAACTCCATATATTTTTTTCACGATACAATCATGACAATTAACCAAAATTTCTACTATACTTAAATTTAAAAAAAAAAATTTCAGATATTTTTTGGCCAGTTTGCAAAATTGTGAAAGGACATTCAAATTGTATTTTTTATGTAATCAAATTACTTACCACCAGTAGCTAATAAATCATCAACTATCACAACCTTTGCTCCAGGCTTTATTGAATCCTTCTGTATTTCAAACTTATCCTAATAAATAAAAAAATCTTACAATAAATTGGGAAATTTTGGTATGAGTAAAATTTGTATACAACTCTTCAGATAGTACATTTATATTTTAAACTGGGCAATAATTTAAAAACTAGGAGATGTGGGTTGACTTCCATTTAAAAAACTATCCACAAAAGACCAATGGGTGTGGACATTTTCAACTATACCATGTATACCATCATGACCATATACTGTAGCTTTCAACAATGAGCAAAACACATATGGTATAGAAAGCTATAAAGGTTACTCATTATCAATGGAATCAGTTATGATTTTGCATTAAAACTTATGATCATGATAGAACTTTTTACTATCAAGCTGGGTAAGATTCAAAATTAAACTTATACTATATGATGTGTCGGTATGATACAGAAATGCTGGAGTGTAAAATTCAGCTTGGTTCCAACTGCTAGCTAAAACCTCAGACTTAACTAAACTGTGTTCTATCCCAAAATAAAAGAAAATGAGAAGTATACATCAATGAGACAGCAACTCAACAACACCATGAAAATACCATACAGAAGTCTATTCAAGAGAACTTGTATTGTTGGGCTGCTGTTTCATTGATGCTTTCCTACTTCAACCAACTTCTTTAGGGATTTCTTTTGCTTAATTCAGAGTAAATTTCTAGTATTTACTATTCATTCATAATAAATTCTCAGTTCTTAAAGAGATACTAACCTGACCATATTCTAGTGAGTAAGTAACTTCAAATGTCTCTCCTGGTAGTTTCCCAGCTTTCCTCACAGGAACAAAACTAATGCCAAGTTCCTGTGCCATGATTGGTCCAAAAAGAAAGCCCCTGGAATCTAATCCTACTATTACTTCCACATTAGGTGTTTTTGATTTAACATGGTCCACAAGAACATCTGTCAACATTTTAAAGACAGACGCATCTCTTAAAACTGGAAATATGTCCCTAAAAGAAATATTGAGTTGATATTACATTTTGTAGCTAATATTACCACAAAAAAATTAAAACTATTTCAGATTATAATAATATAGTCTATTTATTTTCTGTATATAACATGTATAATGCTTAAAATAATCTTCTCATGAATAAAAGATGATAGTGACTCAACAACACAAAAATTTAACATGAGTGTGGTACATTGCATCTTTAATTTTTTAGCTATTCTTCTTATTAACTTATTCTAATGATTAAAGATTAAAATCTGAGCTTGTTTGGTCCTCATCTTGGTTATTGACATTATTAGGCATTTCCATTACATCAATCTCAGTGTGAATAACAAATTTGGACTTTTAAGATGATTGATTGATTGATGTTTAATGCCACCTTCAACACTATTGTGCTTTTTCATGGCAGTCAATTTTTATTGGTGGAGGAAGCTGGAGTGCCTGGAGAGAACCACTGACCTTCGATAGGAAAACTGACAATCCTAGTCAATAAAGATTGGAGTCAAGTGCACCTGTTCTGGATTCAAACTCACAACCTCAGTGTTGACTGGCTAGTGATACAGTAGATCAACTACTTAGACCAATTGGCCACTGAGACCCCCATGTAGATTTTATCATTAAATGACAAGATTCAAAAGTGACAGCAACTCATCATCATACATATGAAAATCCCTGCAAATACAGGCCTAGTAGTAAGCCATGTTTTCATTGTTTATAAGAGAAATTAAAGACAGAGTCTATAGTGTTAAACCTATCTCTTGGTAACCCTTATTATATGTATGTTAAAAGGATATTTCCAAGAAGAGTTCATGTAATAAAAAATAAATGGGGAATGTGTCCATGGGACACAGATGATGCCCCCACTTGCATTTAATGTTATAAAGGGACATAACTCAAGAACTGTAAAAGTGATGCTACCCAAATTTGAACTTGATCTGAGTTTTGTGGTAATAACCATTGTGTATATAAGTTTCATAACATTTAGATGTGGCAAACTAAATTAAGTAAGAGAACGGAAACGAAAAAATTCAGCAATTTTTCCATTTGTATAGGGGCATAACTCTAGAACGGTAAAAGTGACGCCACCAAAATTCAAACTTGATCTGTGTTTTGTGGTAATAAGCATTGTGTATAAGTTTCATAACATTTGGTTGAGGCAAACTAAAGTAAGAGAACGGAAACGAAAAATTCAGCAATTTTTCCATTTGTAAAGGGGCATAACTCTAGAACGGTAAAAGTGACGCCACCAAAATTCAAACTTGATCTGTGTTTTGTGGTAATAAGCATTGTGTACAAGTTTCATAACATTTTGGTTGAGGCAAACTAAAGTTAGAGAACGGAAACGAAAAATTCAGCAATTTTTCCATTTGTTAAGGGGCATAACTCTAGAACAGTAAAAGTGAAGCTACCAAAATTCAAACTTGATCTGTGTTTTGTGGTAATAAGCATTGTGTATGAGATTTATAACATTTAGTTGAGGCAACTTAACTAAAGTTAGAGAACGGAAACCAATTTTGGGACATACGGACGGACGGACAGGGGTAAAACTTAATGCCCCCTCCGCAACGGCGGGGGCATAAAAATATTTGAGAAAAATTATGAATTTCTTCTTCTTCTTCTTCAGTTTCAGAAAACCATCAACATACTGATGTTTACTTTCCGGCGCATACCTGGTAAAATTTTTTCAAATTTATGTATTTATAAATGTAGTTAGACATAGATTGTCAAATTTTTTGTATTCAATATTTTTGTATATTTGTTATATTATTATTAATTTTTACAATTTTTCTTTGTTTTTAGATTTTTCGTTTTTATGTATTTTTTCTAATATTTCATTTTTTATTTTTATTTTTAATTTAAGATAAAAACATGATTGCCTGATTACTTCTTGTGTGGATAGGTATCAAGGAGCACATCGTGAGTGAGTGCATCCTTGAAAGTTTCTGTGGTGGTGTTTTTTGTTATGACTGAGGATAATTTGTTCCAGTCTTTAATTGTTTGACAAAAGAAGGAAAATTTGTAGCTGTTTTTGTTACATTGGATTTGTCGGTAAGCATCTTTATTGGTGGATCTTGTGGTGGACTGACTCTTTTGTAGTAAATTTTGCGATGGTATGGCAATATTTTTGTTTATAATTTTGTGGAACATTATTAGCCTTGTTCTTAGTCGGCGTTCTTGTAATGTTTGCCATTTCATGGTATCTAGCATCTCAGACACACTGCTGGTATTGTGATGTCTGTTACATGCATACCATGCCGCTCGTCTCTGTACTTTTTCTAATGATCTAATGTTTTCGCTTGTATAGGGGTCCCATACAGTACAGCAGTATTCTAATTTGGGTCTTATGATGGTTTGGTATGCTCTTTCTTTTATTTTTTGTGACTGGACTTTGAGATTTCTTCTGATGAAGCATAAAGATTTATTTGCTTTAGCGGCTGTTTGTTGGATGTGGGTGTTCCATTTTAGATCTGAAGAGATTGTGATACCTAAATATTTAGCATGTTTTACTGATTCTAGGATGTGCCCATACATGTTGTAGTAGAAGTGGATGGGAGTTCTTTTGGTTGTTATGTTCATGATGTTGCATTTGTCTGGGTGGAAAGACATGAGCCAGTCTTGCTCCCATTGTATGGCGGCTTCTAGATCTTCTTGAAGCTTGAGGCAGTCGTTTTGGGATTTAATTTGTCTGTAAATTATACTGTCATCTGCGAAGAGTCTGATTTTGCTATGTTTGATGTATTCTGGAAGGTCATTTATGTAAATAAGGAAAAGTATAGGTCCTAGCACTGTACCCTGTGGCACACCCGATGTGACTGGTATTTTTGAAGATGACGTGTTTTCTAAAAGTACTGTTTGAGTTCTGTTTGAAAGAAAGGATTCGACCCAGTTTATGATTTGATCTGATATGCCAAAGTATTTCATTTTATATACTGTAAATTCAGAAATTATTGCGTGCATTTATTATTGCGATTTTGTCATTTTAGACTAAAATGCGATTTTAATTTTTGCGATATTCAGAAAAATCCTGTTTGATTCATATAATAAATTTCAAAATGCGAGTTTTAATTATTGCGATGATAACCCTGTCGCATTTTTCGCAATAATAAAAACATCGCAATAATTTCTGAATTTACAGTAGTAATCTTTTGTGTGGTACCTTGTCAAAAGCTTTGGCAAAATCCATGATTATGAGATCTGTTTGTATGTTCTTGTCATTATTTTGTGATAATTCATGAATGAGTGAGATAACTTGAGACTCACATGATCGCTTTGCCCTAAATCCATGTAATTCATACAGTGTGTTATTGGTTTCGAGATGTTGCATCATGCTGCTTGCAAAGATGTTTTCAAGTAATTTGCAAGCTATGCATGTTAAGGATATGGGTCTGTAGTTACCTGGGTTATGTTTATCCCCTTTTTTGAATACAGGTGTGACATTAGCGTGGTTCCAGTCAGATGGTACTTTGCCTGTTTCTAAAGATCTGGTGAATATTAGTGTGAGGATATCTCTGCATATCTCAATGTTTTGTTTGAGTACTTTGCCTGCGATGGTATCAGGACCAGTAGCTTTATTAGGGTTTATGTTTTTGATAAGTTTATAGACACCATCCCTAGATATTGTTATGGTTGTCATTTTGGGATGAATACTAGGACCTTTATCTGGAATGTCAGTATTTGCTTCAGATGTAAAAGCTGACTGAAATTGTTTGTTCAGTATGTTCGCTTTCTCAGATGGATTTGAGTGCAATGTACCTTCACTTCTTAGAGGAGCTATGCCAGTATTTTCATTTTTTTGGCTTTTGATATAAGAATATAGCTTTTTTGGTGTATTTTTGAAGCATGGTTGGTCTGGTTCCTTTATTTCAATATCAAAGATCATATTTTCTATATATTGCCAGTAAGAGTTTCTCATTTCTTTTTGGAGCTTGGTTTTAATTTCTTGGTATTGTTTTTTGTACTTGGGATTTCCTTTTTTCTTTTTGTAAAGTTTGTTTTTCTTGTTAATCAACTTTTTTAGTTGGTTATTTACCCAAGGTAGTTTTGATTTATAACTAATGCTTTTTTTAGGAGTATTCTTATCAATGGACGTTTGGGTGTTTGTCTTAAAAGTATTCCATAGTTCATCGAGGCTCATTTTATTTTGATCTTTTTTTAGCTGTTTGTATGTTTCAGTGAGGTCTTTTTCGATTTGGTCCCAATTTGCCTTTTTATAGTTTAATATTTTGTGAGCCTGTTGTTTATTTTGAGGCAGTGCTAAGTTTATTTCACTGTAAACGATGTCATGGTCGCTCACTCCAATTGGTGGTAATGTTTCGACTCGATTGACAAATGATGGATTGGTCATACACAGCAGATCTAGTGTTGTGTCGTTTCTGGTGTTCTTGTTTACTACCTGTGTTAAGTTGTTGTCATTTAATATGTCAAGGAGTTGTTGGTGTAGTGAAGCATCAGGTTTACAGGGTATGACTGCTGGTGTGTTCCAGTCTATGTGGCCAAGATTGAAATCGCCACTTACCCAGATATTTGGGTTCGTTTTCTTGCATAAGACTCTATTTAGTGAGATACCAAGTTGTTCTAGGGATTCTCCTTTATCGGATGGTGGTCGATAATAGGTACATAGGTATAGTGATTTGTTTCCTTCATATGAAATTTTTGCCCACACATTTTCACAATTTGTATCGAGGTCTAGGTCAGTGCCTGTATTTGTGATTTGTGTAGATGTAAGCTGGTTTGAGATAGCCAGTAACACTCCCCCGTAGCCATCTTTTCTGTTCTTTGTAAAGATGTTGTATTTGGAGGCTGGGATGTATTCGTATGGAGAGGTGTCATTTGAGAGCCATGTTTCAGTACCAAATATGATGCTTGGTTTACAAGAGTCAATGATGAGTTCTACTTCAGGTTTTTGTTCTTTATTGACTGAAAATTTATCGTAAGTACTCTTAGTGGTTCTGAGTTTTTTGTTGTACGATCATGACGATTGTCTTTTTTCTTTTTGATTTGCTTTTTTGATGGTGATAATTTGATTTGATTTTTCTGGATTGGTGATGAAGAATGTGTTGGTAATCCGATATCAATAATTTCATTGTCAGAATCAATGCTTGTTTCTAATTCTGAGTAGGTATTTGACATTTCAGGTAAAGTACTATTGAAAAATGTGGTGGAGAAGTTTGGCATACCACAGTTTATACATTCCCATGATAGGTTGCTTTTGTTAAGTATTTTATACATTTTATTGTCGATACCTTGGCAATTTATATGGTACCATTGATCACAGCTGTCACAACATACAGCTTTTTGTTTCCAAGTGCAGGCTTTATTGCATGATCCACAGGGGTATTTTGGTGGACCAGGGTTTGGCTCTGGTGCATACGAGTTTGTTAGGAGAATGTTACATAGGTATGTCAATACCAGTCTATCATATTTGATGGTTTTAGTTTTTCTTGTAAGTACAATCATAGATGTTGTGTATATATTTGACTTACATGTCTCTTGGTTTGATATTGTTATTGACCATCATTTATCTGGTGCCTCCTTATTTTCTTTGATGTTTCTATTTGAGCTAACAGTCTTGCAGTTGACAATTAAATCTAGCTTGACACAATTTGACAGGAGGTAAGCATGGTATTAAACTGATTCTCGACCAGTGGGCCAGCATTTATCAGTTTAATCAGATCTTATACTACTATATAACTATAACAATTAACATGTGTTATCAATATTAGTCTCAGTTCAGACAGATAAATCAACTTATAAAATTAGTAATAAGTGTAGTTAAATTTAAAATTACCTAAATAATATACCAGGTTTGGGGAAATCTGGATGACCAGTTATGCACTGCTTAATTTTTGCTATTTTTTGTTCAGTAGTCATTATTGCATAGATTGAATCAAGAGCAATTACAAGCCAAGGTACAACAAGGTGGTAAGAATTATTTCCCCTTCTAACTGTTACCTGTTACCTTTGACCACGGGTGCAGGTCGTTTCGTAACCTGGTCGTTTCGTAACTAGTCGATACGTAACTTAACTAGGTCGTTTCGTACCTGAGACGTTTTGTAACCTTACATCAATATATAATAACAATAAGAGTAGTAGGTTACGCAAAAAGTAATAAAAAGACTTAGTGATGTATGTGTATATATATATCTATATTTATTTATTAAATAATTAATTGCACATAAATTTACACTTTACAAGTACAGTTTTGCACACATGCGAATAGAACAGAAGAATTTGAATTGTCCATCATCATTTAGATGTACCCCGTCTTTATCAAAGTATTTAGTCTTCTGCCACGTGCTTTGATGTCTCCAATACTTGACACCACTCATCTTTATGTTGCTTAGTTCTTTATTTATTTTCTTTTTTTTTTCTATCATAAGTTGTTTCTTTCATGTTTCTTGTTTTTAGTCTGACGATGTTGGAGCCTATAACTACAGAAGGAACAACCAAAGCGCTTGACATCTTTTGCGAGTTGTACAATCTCTGATGCTGTGTGTGATGCAGATAATTTATCACAGATGTCATTCTCTCCAATCTGTATGAAAACAAAGTCGGGTTTAAATTTCTTCACTATGTGGAGATCAAAATGTCTCAATGACTGTACTTTTCTCCCGCCTACCCCGTGAAGCTTTGTTTCGACAGAACTTGATAAGCATAGATGCCAACCATTACGATTTTCCCGTAATTGTTACGATTTTTGGACCCAAATTACCTCTTTTTAGTGACAGTGACTCAGATTCAGATCATTATATTGTTAGACGCCGACCACCACCTAGAGTCATAACCGAGGACAACTCCGAGGAGACATCGTTTCTTCCTCTACAGATCAAGTTGGTATCCGAAGGTAAACTGAAAAGGTATCAGCGTGTAAGGACCCGCTACATACAAGGACGCTTTTGTTTACGGACCAACTGCTGCTGCTGCTCCGGCCCACTAAGACTTTGTTTCATGTTTATACCAGGGTTTTTCGGATGAAAAATCAGGCTTTATGCCAGTATAAGCATGCAAACAAAGGACAACATAGTGATGTATCTGAAAGAGTAAGATAAAGTGTTCTAAAAAAAAAAAAAAACTTTAACTCCGCCAACGCCGGTCCCCAGCCCGGGCGAAACAGGAGGAGGGTTATGCAATTGCATGTAAAAGTGAAAAAAAAGGAGAAAATAATTATTTTTTTCAGGTCGTGTGCCATTAATCTACTTAATCACTTTACACCTACTGTAATTACTTTTTATTACCTGTCATTAGTTGTCATAAATCCATTAAAGCTGTCACCGAGTGTAATTACCAATTAGCCAATTAGCCAATAATTAAAAAGATTTCAGAAAATTTTAAATTAAAAAAATTACAATATTGTTATTATTAGATGAACAATTTGATTATTTTTAAATAATAACTTTAACTTTTTCATTTAAACTAATTAATTTAAACTAACACTTTATAACCATATATAATTACAAAAGTTACGAAACGTCTCAGTTACAAAACAAGGTAGTTACGAATCGACCAGGTACGAAACGACCAGGTTACGAAACGCCGTGCATTCTTGACCACATATAACTGAAAGGCAACAAGGGATTATTTTAATCAGAAATAGCCTGTATGTAACTACATGTATTTTCGATAGTACATTCTCGTGTAAAATTGGAGTATTAATTTCGAATAATTCTATATCTATTTTATATAGAGATTTAGGGATCTTTTAATTTATTCGTTAATTTATCTTATCCTTGCTTGAGCCCCACATCTGCAGAAATCGTGTTCATTACAATGTTTTAATGACACAATAAAAATAATTGATTGAGAAGTTACATTTTTACATTGAAGAAAAACTTGAACAAAAAGTTTCTGTGTAATCAAGTACTTTTACAGCAAAGCTCCATTCATTTAAAGTATCTGTGGTTATACTTACAACAGAATAAGTTAAAACGAGACATAAAATCGTATGACTTTTTTAAATCTTAATTTTCATCATTCTTTTTTTACAAAAACAGTCAAAAAAGTTATGACTTTTTTATATTTATATTTAAAATAAGATATCATGGATATCATACAAATACTATAATCTAACAACATGTATTCCTTTAATGTGTGTTAATCAATAATGGAACATGCATTTAGGGATAACACCATTTTGTTTATATATGGTCCCAAATACGTCTTTAGCTATCTGTGTTGTGTTTTCTGTACTGACTGTTATTTGTCTTTTGAACTTTTTCTTTTTTTGCCATGGCATTGTCAGTTTATTTTCAACTTATAAGTTTGAATGTCCTTTTTCGTATCTTTCGCCTCTTTCTTCATCACTTGTTCCATCGCTAAAGAAATGACCCAAACCATTTTTTCTGAACAGATTGATATATGAGGAAGAAAGCAGTATTTTTCATGACTTTTAATCTTTGTCATTTTCACTCAATATTCTTAGGAAATGAATGAGACACATTCAATTTCATGCAAGCTCAATAATGATAAATTATTAAAAGGAGAATAGGGATGGAAATCAATGAGATGGCAACCCAGTAACATAATCATACAAGGAAAAAACATCTAGAAAAGGGCTTCCAAAAAATATTTATAAATAGACAACTTTCAATGCCATATATGCGAAGCTATTAAACGCCCTGTGTCTAGACAAATTGCATGATTCTTACTAACTCCAAAAGTAAAATAGTATAGGACATGTAGGAGCATACAATATAAGTACAAAGATGCATTCTGATATATCTTCACATCACTACAGACAAACTAATAAAAAAAGAATGCTTCAGTCTTTAACTATGGTAGTCTACAGCCAAAAACCACTAGCATTAAGCCCCCTGACTAGTAAAAATTGGTTTGGGCTTTAGGAAATTAAAAAAAAATTGCTAAGGCGTGTATACATTTTGTAGAAGTATTTTCTTGAAATGAGCTTTCATACTAGTAGGTATTAACATTCTTGGCACAATCTGTTTAGTGTTATTGTCCCCTTTTTATAGAAAATCGCACTGCATACTAAATCATGTATGTTTAATAAACGTATAGAAAAATTTGAAGTTAACACGTGTTTACAATACTAAAAGAAATAGTTTGACAGTCAAAGATATAACTCTATAGGGTTATTACAGAAAATAACTTGCGTGTGTTATTACAGATACTTTCATGAGTTGTCTACTCTTTATTCCTTAAATTTTCTAAATCTGTAATAACATATGTTTGTTATTTGTAAAATTATTTCATTTATAGTGGGCTCTAGGGAACTCTTGAGACTTTGCGCAGAAACTAAATGCATAGCCTTGATAACTAATTTTTTAATTAAATTAATTCATTTTTGATTAACCATGGTAAATCAATGAGACGAGGCTATTAAGGGATAAACTTAGCTGTGATAACAAGGCTAGGTTATTAAAGGAATGTAACTTATTATATAAGACACTTGGGAATTACTGAGAAACTTGCGCAGAACCTCATTACATGCTCTGGTCATTATTTCTTACAATAAATTCAAATACATTGTAATTAGGCATGATGTATGTCTGAGCAAATGCTTTGAAGTGATATAGAGAAGCTGTGATAACACCCTTTAGTTATTACAGGCATACTTTTTCTGTAATAACATATAGGTGTACTATGCAAAATTGGCAAACTATGAACTGTTATATCTTTCAATAGTTAAGTATACATATAGACAAAAGTAATATCAATAGAACTTTTATACATTTTAACTAAACTAATGATGTGTATTGTCCCTTTGAAACATGTAACATACATATGTTATCACAGTTCTTTGATTTTTTAGTCCACAATAACAAATGTATGTTATTTTTCTGTAATAACCCTATAGAGTTATATCCCTGACTGTTTGATAGTGAAATTACTGCATAGAAATTAAAAGAGCAACTACAAGTACATGCAAAAAACTTAAATTGGCCAGATGTAAACATAATGTTATTGCTTAAATGTGTTCATAGTCTGATAGATATTTTAAAAAAGCATAACAATTGACTTCCGTTTTATTATACAAGTTTATGATATGTTTTATATAAATTATAAACTTAGAATCTACATATTTTTTATCATAGATATTTTATTACTTTATTTAAAACACGACATATAAATTTTTTGTATTGCAGACTTCTTATATTTGTGATGAACTTACTACTAAATATTTTGAAATGGAGCTATAATTGAAGATTCATGATGAGTCAAAAAATAAAGCCCAATATGACTAAAGGAGATGTATCCTATTTACGGGCTACAGGAGTACCACCCCCAGCATCCCCCGCCCCTTCAAGAGAAGGGTCTCATACACCAATGTCGCAAATGTCTAATATGGAAAATGATTGGGATGACAGAGATGAGATAAGAACACGTGAATTAGAAGAGGCAAGAGCAAGGGCCACACAGATGGAGAAAACTATGAGATGGTGGTCTGATTGTACATCCAACTGGCGTGAAAAATGGAGCAAAGTTAGAAATGAGAGAAATAAAGCTCGTGAAGAAAACAGACAGCTCAGGACTAAGTTGGAAGCAATGGCTAAAGAATGTACTGCATCTAAACGGCAAAGTGAAGAACTTAAAGCAAAAAATGTAGAACTACAGAAAAAATTAGGTGTAAATGTTGAGGTGGCAGCTGACAGTGTGACAGTCAATGATGTTGACAAAAAGTCAGATAGTAGCACTTCAAACAAAACTGAAAGTGAAAGTAATAAAGCATCTCCTGTGTCAGATGTTAGAAGAAAAAGTCATCCAAAGTCTGAGGATGATTCTGATGATGTTGAGCTTGCAGAGGAAAAGATTAACCTTGCAGGACTCAAATTAGATGAGGCACAAAAGACATTAATTGCTGAAAGAGGGTAATATTTTTGTACAGCAGTCAAAAAAATTATAGAAATTCAATTGAAAAAATAATTGCAGGTTTTAAACTAAAACAAGAGACTGAGCAATCTTGAATAATGTTTTGACAATGAAATAAGCATGATATACCTATTTACATCAATATTTCATAAAAATAATTAGTCCTGTCGACAAGTTATATGCAATTTGTGTTCTACTCATTATTTAGCTTTGTTTATTGAACATTGACATTGGGTTACACACCAAAGAAAGCTTTCAAATACATGTATGTTCTTTCCAAAAATTTGAAGAATTCATGAATTTGACTATGGTATGAGAAAAAATAATACCTAGGTCATAAAGCTGTAATAAGAAACAGTTCAATTAAAAGATGGTTAGATAAGACCTAAAATATATAAGGAAAACTTTTTTTTATATAATTTATAATAAATGTAGAATATATTATGTGATTATTTTTGACAAGTTTTTCTTTATTTTTCAGTGAAAAATCAGTATTGATGAAAACCATAGAGAAGTTACAATTAGAATTGAATTCACAGAAAACCAAATATGATGATCTTAAACAATCAAAACAAGAAGCATTATTAGAGGCAAGTTCTGTTAAAACAAAGAAATTGGGGGAATGTCTGTTCATTTAATTTCTATTAGGTTGTGGAAAATTCTTTGCTATTGTTAAAAAGAAAAACATCTGATTGGGTGTACAAGTATATCATGTCTATAAAGTAATAAAAATGTTAGCTTATTAAAATCACACAAAACAAGTTTTGAGCAAAAACTTTTTTGAGCTAAAATCATTAAAATGATTAAAAAGCAAAATTATGTTAACCTCAACACAATAACATATGGCAATCAATTAAGAACATCTATATCCTTGCTATGTAAAGGCTTATTCTAGATCTTTCATCTATTGTAAAAAAAATTATTCAGATTTATTTCAAATTGTTGCATTCTGTCAAGGGAATTTTCAGTCTTACAAAATGGACATCAGTTTTCAAAGATCTGAAAAATTATTTGAAATGGCTTTAGCAGTACATGTAATATAACATTTCTTCATCAAGGATTGTGTGCAATATTGCTGAGTGTAGAATCTTCCTGCACAATATGCAAAAACTGTCCACAGATCCATGCTGGATTCATCTTCCTTCACAATATGCAAAATCTATCCACAGATAAATGCTGGACTCTTAATATATTAAATATAATGTAGTTGAAATTCATTGAATAAATTTCTATTTTATAGATAACCAAATTGAAAGAGAGTAACAAGGACGAATTAAATCGTGTTACAGTTGAGCTGGAAGATGAAGCAGTGAATAGATCTAACATGGAAAAGAAACTAGCAGAACTGAGACGAGAGGTATGAAGTGGTGTAATATCATGTCATAATTGTCTTGCATTTGTAAACACTGGTAAAGTATGTATTCATACTGGTTCACAGAATAAGAGTTTGTGGGTTTAATAAAAGAATTCAAAGCTGTGTGTTAGCAAACATACAGACAGTACGCACTGAAAAATAAATAAAAGATAGATCACACCCCAATGATGAATTATCTCCCTTTTATGTATATTTAGAGATATGTCTGCCTATATGTAGTGACAACTGAAAATTCTACCTTATATATATATATTTTAGATCTTCATATTAAAGAGGCATTTAGAATATTTAAAGATTCATTTGTTATGTTTCAATAGAAAAATTAACAAAAATATTTATTTGACTTCTTTCCAATGAGTATGGTATTCTATAAAAACTTTATTTTTGTCGAGCCTGCGACTTTTGTCGCAGAAAGTTCGACATAGGGATAGTGATGCGGTGGCGGCGGCGGTGGCGGCGGCGGCGGCGGCGTTAGCGGCGTTAGCTAACTTCTTAAAAGCTTTATATTTTAGAAGGTGGAAGGTCTGGATGCTTCATACTTTGTATATGGATGCCTCATGTTACGAAGTTTCCGTCAGTCACATGTCAAATGTCCTTGACCTCATTTTCATGCTTCAGTGACTACTTGAAAAAAAAGTTCAGATTTTTTGTAATGTTAGATTCTCTCTTATTATAAGTAATAGGATAACTATATTTGGTATGTGCGTACCTTGCAAGGTTCTCATGCCCGTCAGACAGTTTTCACTTGACCTCAACCTCATTTCATGGATCAGTGAACAAGGTTAAGTTTTGGTGGTCAAGTCCATATCTCAGATACTATAAGCAATAGGTCTTGTATATTCGGTGTATGGAAGGACTGTAAGGTGTACATGTCCAACTGGCAGGTGTCATCTGACCTTGACCTCATTTTCATGGTTCAGTGGTTATAGTTAAGTTTTTGTGTTTTGGTCTGTTTTTCTTATACTGTATGCCATAGGTCTACTTTATTTGGTGTATGGAATGATTGTAAGGTGTACATGTCTAGCGGGTAGGTGTCATCTGACCTTGACCTCATTTTCATGGTTCAGTGGTCAAAGTTAAGTTTTTGAGTTTTGGTCTTTTTTTCTAATACTATATGCAATAGTTCAACTATATTTGGTATGTGCGTACCTTGCAAGGTCCTCATGCCCGTCAGACAGTTTTCACTTGACCTCGACCTCATTTCATGGATCAGTGAACAAGGTTAAGTTTTGGTGGTCAAGTCCATATCTCAGATACTATAAGCAATAGGTCTTGTATATTCGGTGTATGGAAGGACTGTAAGGTGTACATGTCCAACTGGCAGGTGTCATCTGACCTTGACCTCATTTTCATGGTTCAGTGGTTATAGTTAAGTTTTTGTGTTTTGGTCTGTTTTTCTTATACTGTATGCCATAGGTCTACTATATTTGGTGTATGGAATGATTGTAAGGTGTACATGTCTAGCCGGCAGGTGTCATCTGACCATGACCTCATTTTCATGGTTCAGTGGTCAAAGTTAAGTTTTTTGAGTTTTGGTCTTTTTTTCTAATACTATATGCAATAGTTCAACTATATTTGGTGTATGGAAATATTTTATGATCTATTTGGCAGTCGCGCAGGTTTTATTTGACCTTGACCTCATTTTCAAGGTTCATTGCTCAGTGTTAAGTTTTTGTGTTTTGGTCTGTTTTTCTTAAACTATAAGCAATAGGTCAACTATATTTGTTGTATGGAAGAATTGTTAGCTGTACATGCCTGCCTAGCATGGTTCATCTGACCTTGACCTCATTTTCATGGTTCAATGGTCAGTGTTTAGTTTACTTGGTTAATGTTAAGTTTATGTGACAGTTGTAATAAAGCTTTATATTTAGGACTATCAACATAATATCAATGATTAGTAAAGAAGGCGAGACATTTCAGCGTGTGCACTCTTGTATAAATTTGTATAAATATATAGACGACTATTATGTTTACAGAGAAAGGGTAGCTATTAAAGGGGCACTAGCTACGAGATATGAAAAAAATTAGAATATGATTTTGTTTGAGTCAATCATTAATAAAAGTAAAATAATGAAATAATAAATCGCTTTTAGCAACCAATTTGGTTTAATTTTGTCAAAATAAGCAATGAAACATCGGTCGTAGACCCCCATCGGCCTATGAAAATTTCTTACCAAGGTAGAAGGCGGACAAAAATTTTGCCCCTGCTTCGGAGACCCGCATCGGCCTATGAAAATTTCTTACCGAGGTAGAAGGCGGACAAAAGGTGATGAATTATTCACTTGCACCTCATTTAATCCGTATTCAATGTGAACTTCAATTTAACCCATTACCTAGATATTGGTTGTGCATGTATTAGTCGTGTTCACCCATTAAAAGGAAAAGAATGTCAACATTGAAAGTGAAACAAAGGTGAACCATTTCGTTGACTGATTCGATCCACAAAAAATCATTCTTATAGGTAAAAACGATAATTAACTTATTTTTTTAACTTATAACACGAAATCAAACAGACCTAGAAAAATCCAATTGCACGAGGTCGCTATCTATTTATATTTATGTTTATGTTTATATAGGGTTATGTGACCGTCAGCAGTCTTCAGAGGTCATCTCGATAGTTAATTAGATGGCGTCTAGACTAAAATACACACGAAATTCTGATATACATGTATTGTTAACTGTTTACTTCAGACTTATTGTAATTTGGATATATGTTTTAGTATGTTATAAATCAAATATAAGAATTTGAGTCAAATCGGTGAACATGAATTTAACAGCTAGTGCCCCTTTTAAAAAGCTTGTGTAATTTTTTTTACATTTAGTATTAGACAGTTTATCATTTTATATCTGTATAACATTTTCACCTCTATTTTTTTTTTTTATATTTATACCAAAAATATTTCTGAGTTTAAAGATGCAATAGAATAATTCTTTAATAAAGTCACATTGGTAGTATTTTGGAAGAAAAGTTTAAAGTCTTATACCTCTCCTTAGAAAGCTGGCAATCACACTGTGCAAGTGCTAACTGAAAAAACGTATGGGAAGAAAAAGTAGACAACATAGAAGGAAGATATTAATAACTGATTCTGAAAGAAATATGTTAATAAACAAAATCATTTAACAACTTATGACAAAATTTAATTATCAAATGGGAACTATGGAAAATATTTAAAAAAAAACAACTAAATAAATATTGCTCTGTCATCTCACTTATTTATAATGTGCTCTACGATTGTTGTTGATTATACGTTATGGATTCCTTTTAAATGAATAATGTGCACAGAGGACATAGTTTAGTATATATGCATGAATTGTTCAATAATTTTCCTTCACATTATAATAACCATAAACTTGCTTCATATGACTTTAAAGTAGCATGATCCTAGTTAAAAATTTTGTTTTGATATTATAGCTTGAAAGATTACAAAGAGAAAATGCAGAAGAATATGGTAAAAGAGAACGTTTAGAAACTGACAAGTTTTCTCTGGAAAGAGAAAATAAAAAGATACGCATTCAAATAGAGGACCTGAAGGAACAGATTGACAGAAAGTCACAGCAAACTTCTGCCATGGCTAACTCTGATGTCAAAAGTTTACAGACAGACCTATCAGCCAGTAATAAGGTAGCATGAAAAGTATACAGTCAGAACAATTTACTAAAATAAGGTAGCATGAAAAATATAGTCAGACCAAAGTTTCTTAGATAAAGTTGCATGAAAAATAAACATTCAGACAAATGAACTAAAATGAGGTAGCTTGAAAAATATACAGTCAGACCAATAAACTAAAATAAAGTTGCATGAAAACTATAAAGGGAGACCAATGTACTAAAATGAGGTCACATGAAAAATATAATGAGCTAAAAATAAAGTTCCATGAAAAATACAAAGGGAAACCAATGAAAAATATGGTCCGACCAATTAGCTTAAAATAAGTAGCATGGAAATTAAACAGTCTGACAGATCAATGAGCTAAAGTATGTCTTATGTAAAATATTTTCTTGCCAATGAGCTAAAAATAAGGTAACACAAAAAATATACAGTTAGAATAAGGCAGAATAAAAAATTCTGCTAAAATTTAGGAAACATAAAAAAAATATCTGTATTTAATGTATTTATATTTATTTTACTTGCATGTTCCTTGATGTTTCTATAAATGAAAGCCCAGTTTTAGCTTTCAAACTTGCAAACTTTGACAACCATGGTAAGATAAATAGCTGAACTCATTGGAGTGAAATAGTGTTGTAACTCCTGCTATAAGAAGAAAAATATTGTATATCATTCTTAGTTGAGTTGTACCATTTGGTACTCCAGATTGTGTTGTTGCTTTATTTTTATAAGCCATGCATTGTTCAGTAAATATTAGGTCCTCAATGGGTGGTTTCAATGATGCTATCAGATTTATTTGCAACATTTTATTTCATTTTGTTTTTGCATGGGAAATAAATAATGACAATGACCTTAACTTCACATGAACAACACAAGGTCATCAGAAAAGGCATTTTTAAAGTGTTAAGAGTCATATTTATATCTGTGCAAGAAATTTCTGTATTGTTTTATATTATATTGAAAGTGCTTTTCTTTCAAGGAGCTGAATGACTTAAAAGTTGCTTATACAAGGTTAAAGAAAACTTTACAAGAAAAGAATACAGAATTAGAGCATAGTAAAAGACGTGCTGAACAATATGAGGCAGATGTAAAGAAACTCAGAGTGAGGATAGAGGAACTTAAAAAGGACTTGGCAAATGCAGAAGATGAGGTAATTATGCTTGACAAAGAAACAGTCAAATAAAATGCTGAGGATGAGGTAATTAGGCTTGACAATGAAAACAGTCAAATAAAATGCTTAGGATGAGATAATTAGGCTTGACAATGAAAATGGTCAAATAAAATGCTGAGGATGAGGTTATTAGGCTTGACAATGAAACAGTCAAATAAAATGCTGAGGATGAGGTTATAAGACTTGACAATGAAACAGTCAAATAAAATGCTGAGGATGAGGTTATTAGGCTTGACAATGAAACAGTCAAATAAAATGCTGAGGTTGAGGTAATTAGGCTTGACAAAGAAAATGGTCAAATAAAATGCTGAGGATGAGGTAATTAGGCTTTACAATGAAAATGGTCAAATAAAATGCCGAGGATGAGGTAATTAGGCTTGACAGTGAAACAGTCAAATAAAATGCTGAGGATGAGGTAATTAGGCTTGACAAGGAAAATGGTCAAATAAAATGCTGATGATAAGGTAATTAGGCTTGACAATGTAAATGGTCAAATAAAATACTGAGGATGAGGTAATTACACTTGACAGTGAAACAGTCAAATAAAATGCTGAGGATGAGGTAATAAGGCTTGACAAAGAAAATGGTCAAATAAAATGCTGAGGATGAGTTAATTAGCCTTGACAATAAAAATTGTCAAATTAAATGCTGAGGATGAGGTTATTAGGCTTGACCATGAAAATTGTCAAATAAAATGCTGAGGATGAGATAATTAGGCTTGACAAAGAAAATGGTCAAATAAAATGCTGAGGATGAGGTTATTAGGCTTGACAATAAAGCAGTCAAATAAAATGCTGAGGATGAGGTTATTAGGCTTGGCAAAGAAACAGTCAAATAAAATGCCAAGGATAAGGTAATTAGGCTTGACAATAAAAACAAAAAAATAAATTGCTGAGGATGAGGTCATTAGGCTTGACAATGAAATTGTCAAATAAAGTGCTGAGGGTGAGATAATTAGGCTTGACAATGTAACAGTAAAATAAAATGCTGAGGGTGAAGTACTCAGGCTTGACAATGAAAACAGTCAAATAAATTAGGTTGAATGAAAATATAGCCAATATCAAATATCAGTATTTTGTTTCACAAGATATATGTTTGAGTTTAAACAAGGATTTGTTTTTATTTCCAGGCTGATGCACAGGGAAATTCTTTAAGAAAGCAACAGAGAGAAAATGATGATCTTCAAGAACAACTAGAAAACCTACAAGTTCAATTAAATCATGCACAAAATAGGTATATTAATGATAAAAATATTAGATTTATACTGTACCCTATATTGTTTTGTTTTTTGCTTCATGTATTGTTCATGGTTCGGGCCTCATGTGGGATAAATAAATCTTTGCTTTGTTCACATCCTATGGCCTGAATACAATGCATTTAAATGACAGTAAAATGTTCAGCTTTCATTGAAGCATTTTAATTTATTTTAAAGTCTATTTCAGTCACTGTTGTCTCAGAAAGAAAAAAAAAGGATAATGTTGCCTGTAAGCCCAAACAACTATTGTGGTAAACATTTTAATGTTGACATCTGATTGATCTAAGAATATGAATATCTAAAAATCTATTATGGTTTAATCTCTATGAATAAACTATTTACAGATTACAGAGAAGTCATCCATCAACAGTGAAGTCCCGGACACCTAGCGTAAAATCCTTTGACCCAAATGAACTTGGAGAGGACCCAGATAGTGATGACTCAGATCTAGACATAGAAACGTGACCAGAGTTATTGAAGCATAATATACACATAAATACAGTATATATCTGTTCCAGAATATATGCCTGTGTGTTTCAATGGTGCAACATTAGACATTTGTCTCGCAGTCATAACAGATTCCAACACATCATGTGACTAACGGCTTTATTTGTGCCAGTTATATCAAACTCATGTTGTAGTGTATATCTGAATAGAAAATACTGATATTGCTATTGTTTTAAGTGTAATACTAATTCACATAAGGTCATATGTCTTAATCTCAGGAATTATTGATAGTATTAACCGGAATGCATCATTTAAACATAAATATCATCGATGTATAATGTATATACATTTAAAAATAATAGCATTCAATATGATCCTACATACTCAGTGGGAAGATCCCTAGTTCAAGTCAGTCTGACCCAATATTCTTTGATAAAGTGATTCTAATTAGATAATGAAAAACATTTAATGATTGATGCTATTTTAGCATTTTGCATGTTTTTCATCAATTCAGAATATGGAAACCAATTTTTGTCTCGCCTTGACGGAGTCAAAAAGCGAGATTAAGGTATGCTGTTTCCAGCAGCGGCGGTGTCAACAATGTATTAGTTAGTTATTAGGTCAGTTTAAGAGGAACCAATGATATTTAGTATGCAGTTGTATAAGTCATGGTCATGGTTTATTGACTTTGAAACATTTGCTTAGATAACATGTATTAGTTTGTGATAAGGTCAATTTAAGAGAAACCACTTGGAGTAGGTCAATGATATTTGGTATGCAGTTGTATAAGCATTGGTACATCTCATTTCTATGGAGAATAATTGGCCACGCCCCCTCAGTCATGGTCTATTGACTTTGAAACATTTGCTTAGATAACATGTATTAGTTTGTGACTAGGTCAGTTTAAGAGGAACCAATAGTGGTTGGTCAATGATATTTGGTATGCAGTGGTATAAGCATTGGCAAATCTCACTTCCATGGAGATTATTCAACATTGGCATTATACTTTCAAAATTACAAAAGGGCGAGACATATCTCTGTGTCAACAGTTTATATTTATTGTTCATGGTTTTTCTAATAATGGAGTTATGGCTATTATTCCAGGAAAAAGATATGTGGGAGGGTTGGACACTACATGATAAATTTTTTCTGTGGGTAATAGCGGTGGAAGCCAATACAATTCTGATACAAATGAAAATAAAAACTACAGGTGGTGTTGTATAAAAAAGTGTTGTCCAACCCCCCTTACATTTTTTTACAAGAATCTTACTGGGAAGAGTGAAGACCTTGAAATCTTAGACACACTCTGTTGAGATTTCCAGTCTGTGACAAGGCTTGTCTGAGTTCAATATGATAGGAAATCTTACCCGAAGTGCTTTAGATTTTCATATCTTCATATCTTCTATTCTTGCAGGTGTTTTATTTTTTTCTCATCTGCTCATGTTCAAAGAATTTTTTTAATGTTCAAATGTACCATGGGTTAAGGTGTACTCAAAAAGTCGGATTAGACAGGTATATCTCAGTCATAGCAATATTTAGCCAATAATAGGATCATAAAACAGGATTGATTGAGATATGTATATATGCTATTGTAGCTCATGGAAAAATAAATTAAAAGCAATACTAAAATGCTTATCACTCTTTAAGAAATTATTCATTTTAAATTTCAAAAGTGGCTTTTGGAAAGAAAATGTCACTATCATAACTCTTCATCACATTCATTAGATATTGCTGTTAGCTAGCAATCTAAATAAAAATATACACAGAATATGCATATATTGTCTTTTTATAAAAAAAAAAATATACCAAATGTATTTGTTTATGGTGATAAACAAGAGGTTTGTTGAGCATTTCTATCCTGTTTCATGCTAAGTACAAATGACTTTGATGTTTGTGACAATATATTTTTATTGGACTTTGTCCCCCTTATATTGCAATGTTCAAAAATAGATATTTAAGAAATGAAGGGGAAGATGTAAAATTTTCTTGAACCTGTAATTCATCATAATTTCACCAAGATTATTGTTCACTATTTGATAACTTGGGTATTTTATTTATGTGCCTTGCAAGCACATAGTTGTTAAGATATTTGAATGATGTAACACTATTACCCCTTGACTAGATATTGTTAAACGTGATTCATTAGTGCACTTAATTATGCAAATTTATATCATGCTGTATTATTCTAATTACTGTTTTAAGATGATATATGAAATGAATTTCTGTCATACTTTTTTTTTATTAACATTTTAATGTTAAAAAAATCATGGTACATTTTTTCTACCAGACTTCTCGAAATTGATTAAATGTATACAAAAAATATGAACAGCAATGACATGCAAAAAAACAATTAAAATAATTGTGTAAGAAAATGACAATTGTATTTTCTCTGTTGTATTTATTTCTACATGTTTAAAATTTTAAATAAAACTACTGAGGTTCAAATTTATGAAGTTATGCAAGTTGAGAATTTTTAAAATTTTAAATTTATAGGGTGATTAATGTCAGACTAACTAACTTTTGAGATCACTCTAATCAATTAAGCAAATTGTGTTGTACTTGTAAGAGATACACTCCTTTCTTTTCATGAAAGAAGGAAGACATGAAAATAAAAATAGGAATGTCGGGAAACTTTAAACAACAGAAAAAAGTTCAAAAAATATCTTGATTTGAAAGAAATGTGAGATCTTCAAGAAGTAATATACTGTGGAATCATTATTGTTCATGGGATTTCATTTTTTTGGCGGATTTTGTGGGTGTAGGGAAACCATGTAGCACAAATTTTCTATAGGTTTGTATGCAGACTTTGGCAAAACTACGAAATCAACCATCCATGAATATTCAATTGTTCCTCCATCCATGAAAATTGGTATCCATAAAATTAGATGAAACAACTTAAGTTATCTGATAGATGGTTTTGCTTTGGTACTATTAAAGTTCAACTTAAGTTAAACACATCTATCAATAATTCTCAAAAGATTTCAATTGATCAGGACTGGCTACTTATTATCATTAAATTTTTAGAAGTTCTAAAAATAGTATCAACATTAGTGAATAAGAAAGCTTATACATGGATGTACATTTGGGACATAGTACATTGTAAATTCATTTATTACTGTAGATTCATTATTATAAGTTGGATACCAGTATTTCGTGGATTTTGTGGATATATGTTAACCAAGAGTTTAAATTTTCAAGGAAGTCCAAGTTTATTATAGGCTTGCATACAGACTTTGGTAAAACCCTGAAATCAAATATTCACTAAAAAAATATTTATCCATGAAAAGAAATGAATCCGCAGTAATTGATAAAGCATACAATAAAGGACATGAAAAGCTTTGTAAAACATAATGTTGATAGTCTAACAACAGGGAACCTTTACAACCCTCGAGGAAGAAAAGTGGAAAAAAGATTTAATTGCATTTTCTTTATTATTTTTATTTGATTCATTTGTATAAAACAATATTTTTAATGTACTAAATACATGTACTACATTTATTTTGTGTGTATATATAGTTTGTTATAAAAAGTAAGTAAAATAGTATCTAGTATAATTATAAAAATGTCTCATTTCTGTATTCATCTTCTATTTTTTGGTAGTTTAAAATGAAAACATTTTTATTTAAGGTTGTGACACTTTGTTTGATTTGATTTAATATTATAATTTTTACAATAGAGTTATTGATCTGTCTTATTTTAGTTATATTTTGGACAGAATTATATATATTTTTATAATGTAAAATTACGTTTACCAAACACAAACTTATCAAATTGAGTTTGATTTGTCAAATACTTGCCACCGTCTTATCACCAGTAGTTACATTGTTTCAAGTTTTTAAAGTTGTAAAACAAGAAAAAAGCCTTTTTCCACTATTTTGACTCAAAGAGCTGATTATTTTCTTACTGGTTTCATTTCTTAAACTTCTTTTTTGATGATTTTGATAATGTAAATTACTGTTTCTCTAATTCTGTGAACATATAAACCAGTTCTGACAAGTTAAACTCTCGTGCAATTTCATGCCATATCCATTGAAAGCATTACACTCAGCATTTTCCATTTAATCATAAGAGAAACAGATTCTACCACATTTTCTATTGACTTCAATATTTATCCACATTCAATCTCAGTTAAGCATCCTGATCAATATGGTAGTGTGGTAGAATTTATCATACAATGTTATAATAGATTTATTAACAATCAAACTTCATATGTTGCGGGTACATCATGAAAGAAAATATATCATGAACATATTTATATATTGAAGTTATATATTTTATTCATCTTTGAATTTTATTCATTTTGATTAGCGCTATTCCATTAAAATGGATTGGGGGTGGGTAGGAAGAGACTTTAAATATCCCGCCACGACCAACATACTTTCTTGAGTAATTTTAAACACGTTAAATGGACATACAACCATATATGGCACAGGATCCATCTCAAGAAATAAAAATTCCCTTCCTACTCTCACATCTATTTCAAAGGAAAAAACCTTAGTTGTTCAAATGCAAATAAAACCTCAAACTATTGTTTCGTCTTCTCCAGCAAAGTAACTGCTGAATTTGTTTATACCATTTAATAGCAATATTATTTTGCAATGTTTATAGTTATGTGCATATCATTTCTTTTTTTAGTGGAAATATAAGAACAGTTAATAATTATATTTGAACTATTCTATTATTTCTTTCTCTGTTGACAGTACAATGTATATTCAGGAATACCGAATTTGATAAGAAGAGTATGATATATCTGTACACATTATTTACATTTTTATAATTATAAATACCGTAGACAATTTTTCTTTTGTATTGTATTTGATTTACTAACAAGTACCCTGAAACCCTTTTATTAGTCTCCTACTGACGAAGTCGTAGGGGACTTTAGGTTTGTTTATATTTGTTGATTGATACATTTCTTGATCTGTTGCTTATCGATATTATATGATTAAGACTATGAATTGATATTGTTATTAAAACTTTTGTTTTCTTCTAAATCTTTTAATTTTTTTAATACATTTATCTACCTATTTTTGTTTTTTTTAGAAATTAACCAACAAGTCAGTGGAAAACATTTCTCTAGCTATGTGTGGTTTGCTTTTTCTTGGCTCTCTTGGTTGGTTGAAGTTCAATAATGACCGCGATTTTCTCTAATTAAACTATTGTGTGTACATGATAGAAAGAATCTGAAATCATCCCATTTTTAAAAGCACATATATATTTTTTGCAGCTCACCTAAAAAGTATGCTAGTTATTTGTTAAATTAAATATAATAAAAGAAACATATTTTACAAATGTATAATGAGTGGAGAAATATAGTTAGTCATTTGATGTTATGATTATTTCTCATATAACTTTAAGTTATTTTTTTCTTAAAAAGGTAAGAAATATTGTTACCTTTGTTTATATTTTATTTCATTTAATATCATTTGCTAATTATAATTTATAACATAAATATTAAAACCATACAATAAATATATTGATAACAAGATACAGATTTTATAGAAATAAAACCAACTTTTTATTATTGTTCAGGTTAAATCATTACATGGTTTGTCATGTGTTCTGATACCAGTCACTCTCAATGTTCTAGATGACTAGCTATTTTATGTCCAAATTAAAACCTTTTCTTTAAACTTTGTAATCATTTATTTACATCTGAGATATTATTACCAAAGATCTGTTTCATCTACACCCTGTAGTTTAATTTTTATTATTATTTTTTATTCTTTTATTTTGTTGTCATGAATAATATATTATGATATGGTCTTTCTTGTCATTCATATTTCAGAGAAGTAACTGATTGAAACCCATGAATCTTTGTACAAATTCCTTTGATAAGATTGTCATAGCTCCTTATGGAACCTGTGTCAGACCTATAGAGACAGATATCCATTAAGCTTATATGTAGGAATTTCTTTATCTCCAACACGAATCAGACTAAATTAAAAAATACTAAAGGTGGGACCAAGTGCAAAAATTCTTAAGAATAAATTGTTTCACTATGTGTATATCATTATATGTATTAAACATGTCTTTCAAAAAACAAAAAAAAATTTTGGCAGTATTTACTCTTTTAAGTTATATCATTATTTATCTGCATTTGTGAAGAAAAAAAAATCATACAGATAAGAAAATGGGGAAACATATAAAGAATTATGTAATACTGGATTTACATTTACATTCAGAAACCTAGATTTCATGTTTTAAAATTCATCCTAGAAATACAAAAATTGAATTTCAAGGATGTTCGCTCCTATTGTTTTTATACGCCCGTTTACGGGACGTATTATGGTATACCGTTGTCCGTCTATCCGTCCGTCGTCAACATGTCGGACATTAACTCAAAAACGCTTAAACCAATTTGCATAAAACTTTGGTGAATTGTTTATATCTATTGACGTGAGCTCCCTTTCGTTTTTTATAAATTTTAGATTTTACGTTTCAGAGTTATGGGGTTTTATTCATTACAGTTTTCGGACAATAACTCAAGAATGCTTTCACCAACTTGCAAGAAATTTTGGTTAATTGTTTATATCTATTGACATGAGCTCCCTTTTGATTTTTATAAATTTTAGATTTTACGTTTCCAAGTTAAGGGGTTTTATTCATAAAAAAAAGGGGGATTTTCCAGTTTTCGGACAATAACTCAAAAATGCTTTCAGCAGTTCTCATGAAACTTTGATGAATTGTTGATATCTATTGATGTAAGCTCCCTTTAGAATTTTATAAATTTTAGATTTTACATTTCCGAGTTATGGGGTTTTATTCATTAAAAAAGGGGGATTTTCCAGTTTTCAGACAATAACTCCAGAATGCTTTCACCAACTTGCAAGAAATTTTGGTTAATTGTTTATATCTATTGACATGAGCTCCCTTTTGATTTTTATAAATTTTAGATTTTACGTTTCCAAGTTACGGGGTTTTATTCATAAAAAAAAAGGGGGATTTTCCAGTTTTTGGACAATAACTCAAAAATGCTTTCAGCAATTCTTATGAAACTTTGGTGAATTGATTATATCTATTGATGTTAGCTCCCTTTAGAATTTTATAAATTTTATTTGTTTATAGTCTGACAACAGATTTACTAAGTATTGTGCAACAGCATAGTGTATTGCACAACAGCAAGAAATCTTTAATTGAATATAAATTCAATTCATATAACCAATTTCAAGTTCTTTGACTACATTTATTCAGAAACCTATAATATGTCAAATAATTAATTACAATCCAAATTCAGACCTGTATCAAGCTTGAATATTGTGTCCATTTTTGCCCCAGCTGTTCAGAGTTGGACCTCTGCGGGCGTATCCAGCTGCGCTCAGCGAAGCAGTTTATTGAATATTTGCCGTATATTCGGAATCCTCTGGTTTTATACATGTAGTGCCATTAAAAAATTTCCCCGCAAATCCCTATTTTTCTTTTCATAATTTTATTTATATAGTTTAAAAACAATTTTTGAAAATCTTATAAAATCCTTGTCATTTTTTCATAGTTTTTGAAAGAAAAAGGTGCCAATGTTAAATGTATGAAAAATCTAGAGAGAATCACTTCTTGCCAAATTTTCAATGACATATCTCGAAAACAAGCACACGGAGTCACGGACCCTTCATTTTTTTCTGCTTTTTAAGTTCCTTTATTCATATACTTTCAATTTACAACAATCTTTTAAAAAGCTTGTTATTTTGAAACAGAGCAGCGAACATCCTTAATTTGGAAATTGGTTTCATTTTGCCTTTGCTATTGATAAGATGAGTTTAAAATTATCAATAAATCAATCGGTTGGTTCAGTTTTAGGCAATTGTATCATGATGTACTAGGCACAGCTCTTATCTATCCTTATTTTTTTAATGTAAATTTTGTCATGAACATTTAAGTTGTTTTTCATTTTTCCATCTTTTGCAATATTGTTTTTCGTTTTTTTTTTTTCATACTCAAAGATCTTATTTATTTTTTTCTATTTTCCAGCAGAAAATTTTATGATACAGTTAACTTGATTAAGAAATACCTTTTCTCTAGATAAAATAAAGTGTAAGTGACAAAATCCTGTCTCTTTCCAATAGAACTTTATTATTCTTATAAAAAAAAAATCAGTTTTCTTCAATTCAAAAATATTATTTCTTCATTGAATATTATTAAGTTTGGTATGTATTGTCCAAGTGAAATTTACTTAATGCAAGCTTATAGTAAATATTTGTAAATTTTTATTAAACAGTTTAATATACTTATATACTTTTGACATTCTATTCCTTTGTGAATTCTTATTAATATATACATGTATGATGTACATTTCTTTAATGATCTATTATGAAAATAAAACTTGACTTTCTTTGTGATCTTAATAAACTACAGATATATATAGACAAATGAGTCTTGTTATTAATTAACTATACAAAATATCCATGTGTGCTGCAATTACTATTTGTACACTTTTAAAAAAGATGTCCTATGAAATAGTTTTGATTGTAACCAAATTTGGCTAGAAGGCTCCTATGATGGTTTCCCTTCAAATTTACTAGAAGATGCCCGCGAAATCGCAATACAATTGGGCAAGTGTTGAAACTAAGAGTGTGGACACAGTAATAAGGTGGACACAGTAAGGATTTGGACACTGTTAATGCATTCAATTCTATTTCTTTAAAGAGATGAAAATGAGGAACATAATGCAAAAGACCCCATTCATCTCGTCGGGTGCCTGTGTTTACACATAAAAAGTGGGGAGGGGTCCAGACCTTGGGTGCCTGTGTTTACACAAAAAAAGGGGTAGGATCACTTCAACATGTTCAACGCCCCTTTTCATTTTTGGACAGTTCTGCGCCTGAGAATATGAGAAAGTGTATAAGACACGGATCCATAACGGTCTCCGAATTTGGATATTTTCTCAAAAATTGTCGTTTTCTGTGGAAAAAAGATTGTTTCAAAGACAAATTTTGGAAGTACAAAACACTTCATTTATACGTCATATCACAAATATTTCTCTTCCTTTAGTAGTAAAGATATCAATAGACAGATAAAGTGTATTGTAAGGTACACTGATACGATACTAAGAACTCTCCCAAGCTACTATTGAAAGGGTTTTTAGTGTTCATGTCTTCAGTGATTTTCTGATGGGTATATATATATAAAAAGGAAGTAGTAAGATTGCCAATGTGACAACTATCCACCAGAGACCAAGTGATGTAGATGTTAGCAACTATAGGTCACAGTACATGTACCTGCAAAACCCATACCACATAGGAACATTTTAAAGGCCTTGACTTGACAAAATTTTAAACAAATCAAATAAAGAAACTAACAGCCTGATTTATGTACAAAATAATAAATGAAAAACAAATAGTATATATCGGGTACAGATACAAACACCAACCACTGAAATGCCTCACTTTAAGACAGGCACATGCAGAATGTGGCTGTGTTTATCCTTTTTTGCTGAAGTTCATGTACATTGTATGTAATTTCTGATATAACAGAGATGTTCTTTGAGTCTTTTCTAGCAGGTGATTTTAACTTTGTGCACAAGTTTATCTGAAATGTCTTAAAAGAGCCAAATTGTTAACTTCTGTTGTTAACTGATCAGTCAAAAGGTAATTTTTGGTGTAATCAAAATCATTCAGGTTTTTGTTGAGCCTGCGACTTCTGGCGCAGAAAGCTCGACATAGAGATAGTGATCCGGCGGCGGCAGTGGCCATGGCGGCGTTAACAAACTTCTTAAAAGCTTAATATTTCAGAAGGTAGAAGACCTGGATCCTTCATACCTTGTATATACCTAGATGCCTTATGTTAAGAAGTTTCCATCTGTCATATGACCATTGTCCTTGACCTCATTTTCATGGTTCAGTGACTACTTGAAAAAAAAGTTAAGATTTTTAGTATTCTTTATTTATCTCTTATTATGAGTAAAAGGATAACTATATTTGGTATGTGCGTACCTTGCAAGGTCCTTGTGCCCGTCAGACAGTTTTCACTTGACCTCAACCTCATTTCATGGATCAGTGAACAAGGTTAATTTTTTGTGGTCAAGTCCATATCTCAGATACTATAAGCATTAGGTCTACTATATTTGGTGTATGGAATGATTGTAAGGTGTACATGTCCAACTGACAGGTGTCATCTGACCTTGACCTCATTTTCATGGTTCAGTGGTTAAAGTTAAGTTTTTGTGTTTTAGTCTGTTTTTCTAATACTGTATGCAATAGGTCAACTATATTTGGTGTATGAAAATATTTTACAATGTACATGTCAGTCTGGCATGTTTTATTTGACCTTGATCTCATTTTTAAGGTTCGTTGCTCAATGTTAAGTTTTTGTTTTGGTCTGTTTTTCTAATACTGTAAGCATTAGGTCATCTATATTTGGTGTATGAAATGATTGTAAGGTGTATATGTCTGCCTGGCAATTATCAATTGACCATGACCTCATTTTCATGGTTCATTGGTCAATCTTAAGTTTTCCTGGTTAAGTTTGTTTCTTATATACTATATGCAATAGGGCTACTATGTTTAAAGCATGTAATGATTGTAAGGTGTACATGTCTGTCTGGCAGGGTTCATCTGACCTTGGCCTCATTTTCATGATTCATTGATCAATGTTAAGTTTTCCTGGTTAAGTTTGTTTCCTAGATGTTCAATAGGTCAACTATATTTAAAGGGGTACTAGCTACATTCTTTTTTAGTTGTAATCTCTGTCCTGCCTTTTTATTTTTCACTCTATTCAGTCTTGCCTTTTTTTTTTATTAGTTTATCCGGACTTTTTTTACATAAATTGTCATCCTGCCTTTTTTTTTTGCAAAGTTGCTCATCCTGCCCTTTTTTTTTATTTAAAACTCCTGTCAAAATATTAAGAAATATTTTTAAAAAAGAAGAAAAAAAAATATAGAAAAAGGGGGGTTCATTCCTGAAGCACCTGCGGTCCTGTTAAACAACCAGCTGTTTTTAAACAACCTTTAAGTATAGGCTGTCTATTTATCACCTTCGTTTTAACTTATTATGTAGAGCTCAATATTTCAAAAGGCAGTAGAGCTATACAAGAGGGTCTGGATGGGGGTCCTTCTTTTCTTTATTTCCTTATTTCCTGAGACCATTTTTCTCTATTCTTTATCTTTTTTGCCCATTATTTTCTATTCTGTATTGTTTTGCCTTTTTCTCAACTCTTTATTTTTCTTGTCCTTTATTTTGCACCTTTTGCCCATTATTCTCTTTTCTTTAAACCCCATCAAGACCCTCATACTCCCATATTATGTTGTACATCTGCGGTTAATGGTCTGAAGTATCAGTCTAGAATCAGGATTGACATTGACCTCATTGTTATGCTTCAATGACACATTATGTTGTATCTGGACGGTTATAGTCTGAAGTAATGTATCAGTCTAGCATTGGGAAGTTGGCCATGGCCTCATTTTCATGACTTTCATGATTCAGTCAACCTTAAGTTTTAGCACCTAGTTATTGTGAGTAAAAGATCAACTTTATTTGTTCTATATCGTACGTAGTTGTTAGGCGAATATGTTTGAAGTTTAAGATCCGATTTTATTTCATGGGGACCTACAACAATTAAACACAGTTTTTTTTTCCTAGATTGGCGATTATGTTGTTTCAGGAAAAAAGGGGATATACCACTGAAGGGTAGTACGACATATGACATTGATCCCCATTATTCTTCAAAAATAGTACACCGAGTAATATTTTCGATTGGGATAATTATTTTAGCATATTCCCCTAGATGCGTATACGTCAACGTATCGGATATTTTGGATATGTTTTAAATTGACCGATCTCTAATATTAGGTACCCCCATAGGCAGATCCAGGGGGGGCCGGGATCCCCCCTTTTGTGGGAAAAATTTGGTTGATTATATAGGGAATCACTGAAGCATGACTAGAGTGGGCCCCCCTTAGGTCAGTCAGCGGGCCCCCTCTTATGAAAAGTTCTGGATCCGCCACTGACCCCATACATGTCGTTTATACCAACGGTTATGATTCTGTAATAGTTATCCCACGAGGATTCGGAGTGTCAGTGTAAGATCACCCCGATGGCCGGAGTCCACAGGATGATCTTACACTGACACACCAAGTCCGAGTGGGATAACTATTTTATATCCCTGCTCTTCTAGACTATATGAAAAAAAACATTTACGCTTCATAACATCTAGTTCAGAATGCCATAACATAACTATAATCTACTTTATATATTACTATATAGTATATACCCTTTATGAGCCCCGGATACAATGTTTAGATACCATGATCATGTTAAATTAACAGTCAGTGTGTATCGAGTCTCCCTGGTGTAGGGGTATGGATTGTGGCTTCACATGCTTAAGGTCTTGAGTTCGATTCCCCGCATAGACACTGGAAATTTAGTGGATTTTTTCTACATAAATTTTGAAAGTTAATCTTTATTCCGAATAAATATTTCTAAGTTTTATTGTGTGTTCAACATTCCCGCCAAAATGTTACAGAACAAAAGAAAGCATGCAGAACAAATAACTTAGGGTAGGGTGATCTGGTAGGGGTGATCCGACTCAGATCACCCTGTTAGAACAAAGGAGTTGGGATGTAAAGAAAAAGAATACACCGTAAAGGAATAGGCTGACGTCACAATGTTTTAAATTGTCAGATCTGTAATAATCTTATCCCTATGGTCAGTATATGGAAAGTGCGAATCGAGAAATTCGTTTCTTATGTGGAGTAGCGATATTTTCTTTTGTAAATAAAATGCATTGTGGGGAAATCCCAGAAGAATGTTGACATGTGCAGGAATAAAATAAAATTCATCGTAAAATACTTGTTTATTCTTTTTAAAACATAGACATATTTAACAGGACAAACGTATTTACAACTTGTCATGCATTTTGAATATTTTATCCCAAGTATGTTGAATTTATACGAGCAAATATGCATTTGCATGAAATAAAACCTATTTGCACGATCTATAATTTTGAGGTTACCAAATACTTCGACAATGATGTACCAAAAACAGTAGAATGGTTATTGAACGTATTCCATTGCATTCGACGCCACAATCACTTGTAATAGGTTAGAAATGCTATTTTTTTCTTATATGAGTGCGACGTTTTTCGAATAGAATAGCGATATGCTTTTGTTATGAAAAACTTTTTCAATGCGATATTTTTCTAATAGAAATGCGATACTTTTTTCATATGAAAAAAAAAATACGATAATATGGCACAATACATCCAAACAAAGTAGAACATCGACAATTATTGATGACAGATTCGATGGTACAGGCAAAATAAGTGAAATTTCGTATAGATGATGTACGTACATAATAAACCAATTATACGCTTTTATAAAGAAGTAGACACGATGTTCAATATCCCCTGCTCGTCGATCAATTTTGGGTTTTCAA